TAATACAAGGAAGAATATATGCCAAGGTGTATACAAGCATCATCGAGGACAAATTGCTCTATACTGTTGAGCCCGACCGGCTGGAAGTGAGAGAGGTGGTGTTTCAGCTGGACAATGATCCGAGACACACCTCGCGGGTGGCTCACCAACGCTTCCAGGACCACAGAATGGAGGTCCTAGAAAGGCCAGCAGTCACTAGACCTCAACCCTATAGAACACTTGCAGATACACTTGAAGCGAAGATTAGCTGCGTGCGAAAATGAGCCAATCAGCATCCACGAGTTGTGGCGGCGGGTCACGACCGATTGGGTCGCCATACCCGTCCAAATATGCTTGGACTTCATCGGAAGCATGTCTAGAAGGGTACTGGTAGTGTTGAAGGCTGAAGGCGAATACAAAGAGTATTATTCAATTAGAATTTTGGAAATTCGAGTGTGAGGGACAAAACTGTGCCAATGACACGGTTGGAGGCCAGTTGACACGAGACTATCATCAATCGAAAGCCAGGAAGTAGGAGGATGATTGACTGAAATTTAAGTTAAATTGAACACGTCATACTCGAGTTATGAGTCATCAACTGCAACTATGTCAAACATTGACATAGTTTTGTCCCTCACTGTACCTTTCCTTCAACAAAACGGAAGGAACGACATATATAGCTGCTAGGTTGTATAGCGTAGTATAGTGTATGTTCGACATTCTCTCCAGAGAATGTCGAACTTCGAATGCCCAACTTTGGGGATCCATACCCTGGGGGCACATTTCTGAGGAGGGGGGGGGGGATGATTTCGCAGGCCTAGGCCTAACCCATGGATGGATGCTTAGGCTAATACCACTCTCATACATTTTCTTCCTTCAGGGAAGCGGGAGGGAAACGAAATTGCTGTATCATGCCACACCTCGGATGAAGTTCGACATAGAAGGTACGTGCCCTGAGGGCATTGATGTAGCAGGCCTATAGGTAACCCTTGGACAGACGCAGAGGCCTACACCAATCTTGCCCAACCCATTCGCATCGAGGAACTTCTCGGCCTATCTGACCGAGAATCCTTCTGCTTTAGCCTGACGCGCTTGGCCTTCGACCTATGCCGTTGGGTCATTGGTGAAGAGGACAGGAGTTGACACGTACCGGTACGCTTTCAGATGCGAATGGGTTTTATTTATTTTTCTGGCAGGGAAACGGTAGATGTTCCATTGACATTTCGTTATAAGGTTCAATCCAGTTATGGACGCCTAGATCAATGCTATGCGCACACAACGAAATGGGAAGGTATAAGTACGGGCTGCACTTACGGAATGAAGCTTTTTCTTTAGACGACTGTATGGAACCTTTAGAAGAATTTGATGAAGGGACTCCCATAGAGTCCCTTCGCCAGAATATATAATTAACGATAAAGTTCGCTAGTAGAAGTGGAATTATCGCCTTGAAACTCAGAAGTAGTGAGCTTATGTGTCTGCTGCCTAGCCACCCCAGATGGAGGTGTAGGCCTACACCATTCTCATGAACATGTTCCTTCCTCAGTCATTGAAAGGCGTGTGTGTTATTGTTACGTTGTTCACTCCAGAGGAATTTAGACTTCGGAAGGGGATGGGGGGAGGGTGGGGTGTACACGCTGTGGTGACAAATTTCGCAGGCCTAGGCCTACCCCATGGATGGACGCTTGGGCCAATACTATTCTCATTCACACTCCTCATCAAAGGTAACGGGATGGTAAATAAATAGTTGTTGGCTTGCATATACTATAGATACAGTTTGCCATTGGAGGTGCTTGCCCTGAAGGGAATGATTCAGCAAGCTTATATCCAACCCTTGGACGGATGCTCAGACCTACATCGATCTTGACTCATTGACATCGAGGAACCTTTCGGCCTATCTGAACCTGTTGCCTAAGCATGCGGCGCGAGGCCTTTGTCCTACGCCTTACTAGGTCATAGACTAGGTAGATGCGTACCGGTATGCTTGTGGATGCGAATTGGTTTCATATATTTTTGTAGCTGGGAAACGGCAAGGAAGATTTTCATTCATTTCTATGCTCACACTTCAACGAAACGGGAACGTAAATAGCCATAGGCTGCATTCATGAATGACGTATTTTCTCACGGACAACTGCATGTAGGCCTTAGGAAGAGTTGGAAGTAGGTACTTATTTAGAGTTTTGTCCCCGAACTTAGATATATATGGTTTTGTGAATTAGATGCAAAGAAGAGTGTGACGACCCCAGGCAGGAAGTAAAGTCAATATAGAAACACTAAACGACGCACTGAATTTTAACCTGGTGATCCTCATGCTGGAAGTCATATGACGTCTCTAAGAACATTTTCTAAGAACATTTTCTAAAACAAATTTATTTTTAAAGATCGAGAGCCGAAGGCGCGTGAATAGTCAAACCCGTCAACCAAGGGATTTGAGTGCGTCAATAGGGGAAGCTTCGAAAACGAATGCTCTATATGCATTAGTAGGCCACCACTTAACTTACATTTTCTCCAGTGAAACGGGTCGAAAAAAAATCGCCGTAGGCATTACGATTCAATAGGCTTTACTTTAAAGGTGCGAGAATTGAACCCATGAGCAAAGGAGGACCGCATTTCTAGGGGTGAGCATCGAAAACGGATGCCTTAGATCGCAGAGCGCCAAAGGCGCGTCCATAGCGAGTTTTTCTCGCTATGGACGTTTTTCTCAAACTCGCAATTTTTTATATTCCTGGTTCCCCCTCCCCCTTTTGGGTTCATTTCCAGCCAGTTATGCACGTGGAGGGTGAATAAGTAAAAAGAAAACCAATACGTTCTCCCTACTCTCATGCATATTGAGTAGAGAGCCCGTTTGAGAATGGAAATGAATATTCTGTAGGATTTGTTCCCACTTCCGGAAATAGGACATCTGGGGAAACCGTTCGGAGAAGTCTCTTTCCTGGAAAAGACCATCCTGCGATAAGTCAGTTCTGTTGTAAATCTTTCGGCGGAATAAACAGTTCTAGGAATTATCTTTCCAAGAATAGTCCTTGAATCGCAAATAAAATGTGAAGAGGAAAAAATAGAAGAGATTGCAAGAAGACGCACATGAAAATAGCTCGTAAATTGAGAAGAGTCCTAAGACGTCATAGATGGGAGTCAAGGAACACCGGATTTCACAAAGTGCAACTATTATGGGAAAATGCAATTCTATAACAAGCTTTTCATGAGTAATCTCCATTTAAAAGCTAAATGAAAAATCATTTTACTTGTGGAAAGTTAAGGAGAAGCGGAGAAGGTAAGGTAACGTGCTTGAGAATCGTTTGTAATTGGAGGGGGGACAGCCCACCGAATCACCTTCCGTGGACTATGAGACTCAATTAAGTTCAAATGATTTAATCTGAATGCATTTCATCGCTGAGTAAATACAATGGAGAATCAAACGAATGCCAAGGTATTCTAATTTCTAAGAGGCGGGGAAAATGTGGATTTCAATCGTTCGAGAGAAGGTTGTCGAGTAGGGAGCTTCTTTCGGGCTTTTAACATCATTTAAGAAGTAGATAATTGAAGCCTGCCAGATTTTTGCAACTTGATGGTAACTGTGGAACAAGAGTAAACTCCGGGTGAGACACAGGTTGTGGAATGACTTTTATAATATGGATTCATTAAACATGAACGCAGCATTCTCTGCGCTCTTTGCATTTGGTGGGCACAGGAAGTTTCATGAATCCATCCAAAACTGGATTTCTAGAAAACCGCTACAAGAAAAGGAATTGATTTGCCTTACCGGAAGGTTTTTAAAACTTGATGAGAGTATAAACGAGAAAAATATCGGCGAGATTTGTTTTGCCTCTGAGAACTTCGCTCAGACAACGACCCCCCCCCCCCCCAAAAAAAAAAGGCTAATGGCATTACTCCTATCAGGTTCTCCTTGGCGTACGAGCAGATATTCGTCACTTCTTGTCGTCATCCTTGAATAGGAAATTAAAAAGATGATTTCTAGTATAACAAGCGTTCTTCTACTCTAAGACCTAAGGTTTATCGCCACAGCCCATCAAATATAAATAGTATTTGCCAGATTCCCGCATGTAACTTTCGATCTACAGTTCACGATAGAACAGATATATGCATAAAAAAAGATGCCGAGACAAAGCGTGCGACACTTGCCAAACTAAAAAAAGGAACAATTAGTTCGACATCTGTAAGGTTAGCAAATATGGTAAAAGCAGGAATGACGAAGAAACGCGACATAGGTGGGAATGAAACTAAGTTCATTTCATATTGAACAAAAATAGTCCCGACTAATGGCTTTGACAATCAAAGAAACACGTCTTCATAGACAACGTCGTCGGTAACGATGCCAGGATTCGCATTGCTACGGTCAATCGAAGACCTGAGCCTTTAGCGAATCCCGAGAGCAAACTCGTGAGCTGGCAATGCACAATTGCCCATGCGTGAATACCGAATATGTACAAGAATTCTCTTGTTTACTCAGCCGCTGGAAGTATGGCTGATCATTGTTAATCGCCTAGCCGACTCTCTCGGAGGAGCAGAGAAAGTGGCATCGTTCGCCCGTGTTCCTATATACTAACCATTAACGTGTGTTGATGCATTCATGAATCCACCTATGCATGTCCTTGTCAACCGAGTAAGAATACATTCAAGCGGTTGTCACTTGTTCGGAGTTGTTCGCAAACGTGGGTATGATTTCGGAGGTTATATTTACATGGGAATGGAAAGCATAAGGGAAATGTAATCCTGTTTCTTGGGAGGCAGTCCAGCTGTCAGTTTAACGTGTAATCGACTTTTCTGTTCTGACGAGATCCCTATAAATTCGTGGGACAAAAAACGCTATGACGTTCACAACACATCAGGCTTCAATAAACATCTCCTTTGTTCGGTTTTACTGCTACCTCTATTCGCACTTGACTTCTTCTATTGTCAAAATCATCACTCTGAGTATACGAGGTAATATTATCTCCTTCACTAATCTATCTATGCAGTTTTCATTTCAAGTGTTTCTTATATCATGTGCCTAGATGGAGAGAGGCATGTTGGTTTTCCTATCCATGGTGGCTGGTAGTCTTCTGGGTTCCTCACTGTCCCAGGATTGTGGGGGGACACTTACTGCCCCCTATGGTGAAATCATGTCTCCTGGATATCCCGATTCCTATCCTCCCAACAGCAACTGCCAGTGGATAATCGAGGTGAGTTCGATAATCTACCATTGGAGGATGAAAACGATGAAGAGGCGTTCCAGCTCAAGTGGTCAAATTTGAGTCATTTTCGTTGGGCTTCGGACTTGGGTTTGCTTAAAAAAATGTTTGCAAGTTGATATTGAAGACTTACGAGCATATTTAAAATGTTAGCCCTCTGACTAACGGTTTTCGAGATATGCAGCCCTAAACTTAGCCCCCAAGAGGAAAAGTGACCTTTGAGGTAAAAGCGTTATCTTTGGTCTCACTCAACTTTTTGTCAGACAGAAGTTTACCCTTCTACATTGAAGGCTTGCTCAAAATTCTTTTTTTTTATAGTACTCCTTTTCACAGTCCTGCTTTTCTTATTTGACGATGGGATGCTCTAAAATGTATGGGCTCTGCAAAGTGACAAACTTCGACAAATTTATGAAGCATTTTGCATTAAGCACACGTGTAGTTGCAGCAAATCCATGTAGCTTCAAATATTACTTTTTTAAAGCTTGAAACAGGTATACAATATAGTCACAGCTATGCATAGGTCACCGTTGAAATGTACCCAGACATGGTTGTTTCACCAGGATTCCCATAGTTGGTACTTTGGGTAAAACATTTCAAGAGGAAAAATGACAAGATCAATCGTTCGAAAAATTACACAGGCGAGAATATTGAATTCAACAGCATGAGTAATACATCATTGGAAAGAACTTAGAGCTTTTATTCCACATTAGTTTCAAGTTTGGATCGCGTTTGAAACAGGATGTATTGATACAAATAGCCTAGTTGGTGAAAATAGGCAAAATTTGACTTTTCAAAAATAATTTTAAGTTGTTTCAAACAACGTAGGAAGTTGAAATTTAATTATTCAATTGGTGTTGCTTTCGTCTCCATTGATGCAAAAGGCTCGTTGTGTTACCATGCATCCTAGTGCTCAAAATTTGCTCGCAAAATTCGGGAAAATTTGCAATTTTAGAATTTGTGTAACTCAGTTGGTAATAAACGTAGTAGAAAATACATTCAATATTGTAATCCTACTTTGTCTCAGCTTTAATTAGAGTCCAAATACCCGTTTCTGGCTTGAGTGGGACCAAAGATAACGCTTATACCCCAAAGGTCACTTTTCCTCTTCGGGGCTAAGTTTAGGGCTGCATATCTCGAAAACCGTTAGAGTTAGAGGGCTAAAATTTTAAATATGTTCGTAAGTCTTCAATATCAACATGGACAATTTTTTTTCAAGTAAATCGGTGTCTGAAGCGCAACCACCCCTTGACCACTTGAGCTGGAATGCCTACGAAATGAAAGTAATGTCAGAGGAGCAGATTCCGAAAATTGGAACTGAAGTAGAATAGTATTTCCTATCGTCTCATCTTTATGGAAAGATGGCATTTCGAAAGCTCTGGACTTATATTGAACGAGACCCGTTCCGATTGAAGTACAAAGCATTCCACAATCCTTAACGCATTTGGGAAATACTCTAGAAGTTTATTTCAGAGAAGAATAATTCAAGAGAGAAAAAATAGTATGCACTATATGTTTCAGATATTTGAGATGAAAGTCGCCTCTTTTGTTTTCTCTCTTTAGTCTCCGACAGACAAGAAGATTTTGCTCGTATTCTACGATTTCCATCTGGAGTATACTGTGGGCTGCTTTCCTGGGGATTTTCTGACTGTCTCTGACCCCGTGGTTGATCCACAAATATTTTGCGGTGACAATCCTCCATGTCTAGTGGAATCAATCGGAAACAGCCTGTCCATCTCCTTCTTCTCCAATTCTGATGACGATCAAGAAGGATATCGATTCCATTTAGCCTACACCACTATTTCTTCATCCAATTCGTCCATATGCGATGAAGGTTGGGAAGAATTCGGTTCGCATTGTTACTTCTTCTCGGAGGAGGAAATGGAATTCGAAGAAGCCCAAATGGACTGCGAGGCGAGGAATGCCAACCTAACAAGCATTCATTCAAGGGAAGAACAATTATTCGTAAAGGGGCATTCAAAGACACCGACCGTTTGGATCGGAGCTATTAAGACTGGATCCCTGAAGGATGATCCCTTTGCCTTTAGATTTGTCGATGGCACTCCCAGCGATTATCATAATATGTGGCCCTGGGTAGACTCGCTTCTTGACACCTGCAGTGGTTCCTTTGGCGCTTGTGTGATTCAGTTGTTGCCAGATCGGTGGGAGAACCGTGACTGTTTAGAAACTAGACCAGTTATCTGCGTCGCAGACTTGGGGCATGGTGAGGACTGGATATGCTACGACGGCCCATTTTACGAAGGCTGCTACCACATCTCGACCGTATCCTACACTTTTGATGCAGGCAGGTCTTACTGCCAGTCATTCCCTGGAGCCGATATTGTTCACATCGCTGCTACACATAATCATACGCTTCTTGCGCAGGCGTTCCAATACTACGATTTTTTCCCACATCCCCTTCCAAAGTGGAATGAGTTTTGGATTGGACTGAGGCTTGATTTGTCAGGGAATTGGACGTGGGTGGACGGTTCATCATTTAACGTAGACCGATGGGAGGAGGGGTATCCTGTTGTCGACGGTGGCGATTGCGTTGTAATGACGACATCCTCCTGGGACGATCTTTCAAGACATGATCCTGGATCTTATGTCTGCAAGAAGTCACAGTGAAGGAATTCCACAAGGAGGTACTGATGATGCTTTCCTTGGTTGAATGTTGAGACTAATGAATATTTGACACCATGGATTTTTCTTTTTTTCCTGATGGTATCTAAATACTCTGATTAGAAGCTGCAATATCCTGAAAAGGACTTCAAAAGGAAAATTCAAGATAATGGAAACTTCATAGGGTTTCCTTTACCTCTTTTACGGCCTTGCTTTCCTATATCCGACGGATGATAGTGGCTGTTTTTTTAAGCGCTTTTGCAGCATTTCGAACAAGTATTTTCATTGAAATTGAATAGCTAACAAGGTAAAAATTAAGTTTCTTTTCTAAAGCCCCCATTCCTTAGTTACGAACATTACCATGCTTGGATAGTTGTCTAATTATACAAACGCTGTGAAGATGTGATACTATAGAGATACATCCCTAATTGAAACACACTAACATTATTCCAAGACCATGTTAGGATTTCTAGGTGACTCGACATGATGACAAGTCTCACCATGTGTGTGGCTTGCCGTCCCGGACGGTGGGCATGGAATATTAATTCTTAATCACTCCCGAACATTTGGACGCACAAATGTTGGTTATTTAGGTATAGGATCGAATATGTCACATTCCATCTGCAGAGGGTTAAAGATCTTGCCTCACTATTGCCTTTTTTTCTTTCATTTTGTACTTGCATGCCATCAACAAAGCATCACGACATGTAATTCAGAAAATTCAGACTTTGGAGGTGGAAGTCCTGGGCGCAAATACTTAGGGTGGAGAAGTTTTCAAATTAAGTTTTTTGCTTCAGTCAAATGGAGAAATCTAAGAGAAATCTTTCGACGAAGATACTGAATTACAAAAAAATGTCACTTTAGAGAAACATCTCCTGGTGGTATTTCTTTGGAAGTTGACATTGTCACAATTTTTCTTATCCCAGCGAATCGGACGGAAATAGAAATGTAGGACCTGCCACAGGCGTAACTGACGTGATATTTAATTCAGGAAAGTTTCAATTTTTGTGGTGCTTCCCCTCTGGACACAGCTTTTGGGTGGGTCGCTTTTCCAAAGACATTTTTGCACCAGCATAAGGGCAAACGGTCAAGTGAAATCTCAATCCCAGAGTCAGACCAAGTGGATCACGGCATACGTTCTCAATAAACAACAGGGATTCAATCTGCCCTATACCTTGACGGTCATCGATACGGGTTTGGGACACGGAAGGCATCAAAGCGGACGAAGCGTTGAAGAACCAGATTCGCGAATTTTTCTCCCACGGTGGGAACATCGGCGTGGATCAACTCGATGGGATCTGCTTCGTCGTCCAAGCCTCCTTGGCCAGGCTCACACCCACGCAGAAGTACATCTTCGATTCCATCTTGGCAGTTTTTGGGAACGATGTCGTGGAGAACATCTTCGTTCCCATCACGTTTGCAGACAGCCAGGCCCCGCCTGTCATTTGCGCAATCGACGATGCGGGCATTCCCTATAAGAAATCGTTCAAGTTCAACAATTCCGCTCTCTTTGTGAAACGGTGGGTCGAACGCGCAAACGAGGAATTCGACAAGTTCTTCTGGAACATGGGTTTCACCAGCTTCAAAAATTTCTTCCAGACCTTCCAGACCACCAAACCCGTGAGCCTCACCCTGACAAAGGAAGTTCTGAAAGAACGGCAACGCTTGGAGGCTGCCATCCAAGGAATCCAACCGCAAATCACCGCAGGTTAGACCAGGTCCAGCCTCTCCGATTCCGAGTGGAATGTCATGCAATTCTTATATTTCTATTTTTTTCCTATTAGCATTGGGAAGGTTGGAGCAGCTACTGCAAGAATATGCAGCATTGAAGCAGCACGAAGCAGAAAATCTCGCCAACAAGGATTTCCAGTACAGGGTGGTCTCAAAGCAGAAGAAAGTGCAATTGGAACCTAATGAGTACATGACAAACTGCCTGGTATGCCACTTCACTTGCCATTATCCCTGCTTCATACCCAAGGACGAGGAAAAGGATCAATGCAATGCGATGGACGAAACGGGTTCGTATTGTACAGTCTGTCCTAACAGCTGTCCACCGGCGGAGTACGTGTATGCCGATTATCGTTTGGAATGGTACCAGGAAGATGAATACAGAACGTACGATAACTTGCAGGGTAATTACGAGCAGGCTACTGGAAAGAAGATGAATGCCTAAGAGATCGTGAAGGAACTCATCAAGGACTTCAACAAAGAGAGGGTTCACGTTCTGGACCTCACGACAAAAGCGCACGAATGTCTGCAGAAACTCCAGAAAATAGCTTTGAAGCCCGATCCACTGGGGGTGACGGAATACATCGATCTCATAATCGAGGCCGAAAAACGGGATGCTGCACCCGGCTACCTCCAACGGATCACTTACCTCGAAGACGCACGTCGCAAAGCGGATTTGGTCGAGAAGCTCAGGGGCGATTTCGATCCGTTTGAAACGTACATGAAGGAATTCGAGCGAGAAGGCTTGGGTATATCTTGCTTCGATCCTCAAGACGCTGGAACTCAATCCGCGAGCCAGGGGCAGGGTTTCTTCAATAACCTGGCTAAAGGAATAAAGAATACCCTTGACATCGGTGGCAAGAAGTAGATATATCGAAAATGTGCAAAATATAAGTTGGGTCCAAGGTAATTAACGTCACGATGAGATAATCAGTGACCACGTCCAGATGAAAAAGGAATAAAAGTTTTCGGGGTTTTTTCCTTTTTCACCCTTGCTGTAGGACACTATGTTATTCCATCAAGTATTTAACCAATATAGGCATGAGCCTGGAACGATGATTAAGATATTCCTGACGTAGCACAATTGGATTCAAATAAGGATTGTGAAAATATTATGATAGAATGATTCTCGACATGAAACATTGTGCTGGTCACTGCATGTGACATTTATCTAAATTACACATTATGATCTTTACTATTTGAAGTGGTGATGGACGTGTTGGAGTGTGACATATGTTCAATACGCGTATCTATTCTTTCTTTTGAAATGTAAGCTTACTTGCTTTGTCTTTAACCTCTTGTCACAGCTACAGCATTACATAGCAAACTATGAAGTGAGAATGAAATAAATATTTCATCAAGACGTATCACAAAAGAAAATGCATTTTCTCTCAGTCCCGAATACCCCAAATGCCAATTGCCTTCAACTGGTTTTCCAGTCATAAATATTTTAGTTCAAGAGACTAATTCCTACGCATGCGAACTCCAGCAAGATATCAAATGACCGCTTCCCTCTCTGACTTAATACTACATTTTCGTGACTCATACTGACACCCAGCGAAGCTGCAACTAATTTCATACCGTGGCTTGTATGGGAACCAATATGCTGCACTTCAAGGAGACTTTTGAAGCCTACCTTCCTTCATGAGAGTAGTTGTGGCCTTTTAATGATTTTTTCCCAAATGGATCAACCCTTTATTTCTGAACCTCTCCAATTAATATACAATGAATGCCTTCAGGAGCAGAGTCTTGCATTTTCAGCTGGATTTCCAACGCAGATACAATGACTGTTTATTTTTTTAAATATTCTTTCTCGAGTAGAGCCTTTCAAGCATAGGGAGCAATATGGAATGAGGATTCTGGGTTCAAAACAATACATATGCGAGAAAAAGAGCGAGTCTGAAGCTCAGGCAGATCAATTATATCACGGCATACGTACTACACAAGTAGCAAGTAGATTGTGAACCTCTAGCTACATAATGGGAAGAGAGCTGGTGCCCCACCTATACTATGGTGCAGGACAGCTGCTGCAGGTCCCATTTGCTGTTACCGGCCCGACTGCAAATGAAAACAAATCCGATTTGCATGCTATTATTGTAGCTCAGTCATGAGGAATGGTTAACATTCACCTATGCATTACAAGAGCCCCTCCTCCCCGTTTCGCGAATGCAGAATAAAATAAGACGTGATGGGCAGGGCATGTAGGTAGTGAACCTCCAGCTACAAAATGTAAAGAGAGCTGGTGGCCCACCTTCTATACCTGGGTGCAGGACATATGCTGCAAGTTCTACATTCCCCTACCGGTCCGACTGTAACCTAAAAACATAGCCGACTTACATCTGATAACGGATCTTAGACTTGAGAACTGGTACACAGCGACCTATGCATTGGAAGGCCCGTCCTTGCGGTAATGTGAAAGAAGGATTATGACGTCGTTACCTAGAGATCGAAACGTTCAATGGTTGAGTAATGACAGATGCTCAAAGATTGAGCGAACTAATTTACTGTTGACTCGCATATGTTCATTTTCTCTGGAATAAGATCTCCTTATACTTCCCTTACCATAAAAAACCTGGACATTTGATGTTTTCCATAATCTGACATCATGATCCGGACTCCCTGGTTGCACTTGCTCCAACTAGCTTACGCAAATCGCATAATAAGAATGGCGGGAAAAGAGATACGTTTGCAAATTGATCAGGGCGAGTCTTTAATTACGTTCCTTCGCCGCAGGGGAACATGCCATCCATCCAGAAGAGGCTTTCTATACAGCATCTGGATTACCCTATAAAACATACAAGAACGGTACCGCAAGCTAGGTTGTGGGAGGAGAGCTGGTGGCTTGCCACTCGAACCAAGAGGCGGACTATATGCTCCATGTCACTGTTTGCTACCACTTTCCTATTTTCTTCTGGGCTGGGACGGATCTGGCACATTCATTACGTGGAATGTCCTTTAGAAGGCGGCCTACTGGTTGATCTGGTACTCCACCCGTCACATTATTGCCAGAGCCAGGAATCCGCCAGTATAGTACTTGGACTTCCTATCCACTACCTCCGTGTTAATTGGGGGTCAATTCATATGGACTCAACCAAGCAGTGCACTCGAACACCTCGGATTTTGAGTTACGATTTCTCAGCGATTACAATCTGAAAACCCCATAAGAAAAAGGGTCGCCTCCGGAAAAACCCATGGACGTCTCAATTTCCATCTTAGGAACCGTTCTTCGTACGAAGGTGTGCATAGCTTCAAAACTAGCTCTTTCATAGGTGAACAATTGGCACCATACGTCCGTGGAGCTTAAATGAGACTTCAGTCTCATAATTGAGTCAGAAAATGTGAAATTAATGCAACTTTGACTCAAAATATTGTTATGTTACGAGAGAAAAGATAAATATCTTGTTTTGGTATGTTGCACTTCTTTTTCATATGAGTATATATACCAGGTATATATAAAGTTACCTGTTTAAGGTTTTGTCCGCTACATTACGATAAAAATTAATCTACAAATCGGAACTTTCTCATTCTTGGTCGAGTATTTCTCAATCTGGCATAGCACCTGCATTGACGAATAGAGTCAGCAGAAAGCTTGAGATCTGAAAATCTTGGGACGCACAAAAAAAGTAAGAATATCTGCAGAGCCTCCAGTGAGAATCGAACTCACGACCCTTGTTTGACAAGACCAATGTTCTAACCACTGAGCCATGGAGGCCTCTATAAAAGGTATATGATAAAAATGGTTTTAGATAAATATGACCTATTGCTTTTCTCCATCGTGATTTCACAACCCAATATGAATCAGTTAGGAATTCCTACGGGATCCAATCGGAAAATTGCTACCTGTTACGAAAGGCAATGGAGAAGGTGGTGATATGTTGAAACACTGCCCATCATCACGAGAATTCCGATTAAACTGGTAAGAATTTAAATGGGGAATATGTGTTAGAAGGGTAAGTCTAGCCGCATCAATAGAAGCCCCAATCACCACTGCAGGATAAATTAGACTGTCATTCAACATAGCCATTGTAAAAAAGTGAGCTCGAGAGAGAACACCACGAGGACCTTCTGCTTCTCGGGACCGTGAGATCTGAAGCCCGTTGGGTTCGACACGTCTCTAGCATGCCTCCCGGATGACTCTGGAGAAGATTCTCCCAAACCGGAAGGATTCCATTCCCATTGCAACCCCAAATGTTCAAGCTTGAAGAAGGGAACACTATCATTAACAATTGGATTCATGCCCTTGAAGACCTCCTCGTGCGACTACAATCCCCTTCCCCCTCAGATTTCCGTTTACTCTTTTCTATTTGAGTTACGTGAACACGTTCCTGTTTTCGGCAATGATGAGTTCAGAGCCAGATTTTGCGTTATCGTTAGTTTGGACATGAAGGACCACATCGACCTCTTCGGCTGACATCGCGGGCACCACCAATCCCCCCATGACATACCCTGCTCCTAATACACCCTATCTTAGCTCTCGAGAATGTGGAAAATAGGACCGACCCCTGAACGTCTGAGCTCTTGACGCATGATGTGAGTCTCGAAAGAGGTTCACGTATTGCGTCTTTTGTCCTCGTAACCAATTCGCTTTCCCCCTTCGCTAAGTTCCTCTTGCTTCTTCAACAGAAAAGCCCGAAAAAGGTGCAAGAAACCCATTACCCTCATTTACCCCGATTTGCATCTTGGAAGGTGACCTTCACGAAGTGGTCGGAAATGGAGTTCCACGGGGCGCCGGATGGCAGAGTGCTTCACGTTCGCCGACCAACATTCATGAAGTGTAATTAAAATGAAAATGTTAATGGAGGTCTAATGTGAAACGTTAAGCTGAACACATACTGCCAGACAGCAATTTGCGATAGCTGAGCCTTCGCGGGCCAGAGGGAGGGTTTAGGCTGGCCGATGATTTTTCTATTTCCTTTACTTTTTCCTTGAGTTTTGATTCCCTTGAACTGTCATGTTTTTCTATTACCAGGTGTCCATTTATTTTTAGCCATTTCAGGATTTATTTCTCTTCTTGTTTCTTGGCTTCAGTATTTTATGCTACTTTTAACTGCCCATTTATATATATTCCTTTCTCAATGTCTCAACGAACTGCCTTTCCTCTTCTGCCTCTCCCATTTGGTTTCATCCTAAATTTTGGCTGCATGATTAACCCAGCAATTATTTTGATATTCCTGTTCCCCACTTTTTCTTTCATTATCATCCAGCTATGTAAGTGGAGGGCAAACAGGAAAAGAAAAAAAGAGCGAAGAAATTCTCCGTATTCTCATGCCTGTAGAGTAGAGAGCCAGTTTGGGAATGGAAAGGAATTTCCTCTAGAATTTTTTCCCACTTCGGGGAATAAGCCGTCTGGGGAAACCGTTCGGGGAAGTCTAAATTCGAGGAAAAGACAATTCTGCGATAAGACCGTTCTGAGACAAGTCCGCTCTGTGGTAACTTCTTTCAGGGGAATAAACAGTTCGAGGAATTATCTTTCCAGGAATAGTCCGTAAATCGCAAAAAAGGTGAAGAATAGAGGAGGAGAAGAAAAAAATAGAAGAGATTGCAAGGAGACACGCATGAAGACAGTTCGTAATTTGAGAAGAGTCCTAAGATTTCATAGAAAGGAATCAAGGAACACCGGATTTCACTAAGTGGAACGATTACGGGAAAATGCGATTCTGAAGCAAGCCTTCCATGAGCAATTTCCCTTTAAAAGCCATATGCAAAAATAATATTACATGTGAAAAGTTAAGGAGAAGCGGAAAAGGTAAGAAACGTGCTTGAGAATCGTTTGTAATTGGCGGGGGGGGACAGCCCACGAACCCCCATCCATGGCCTCTAAGACTAAATTAAGTTCAAATGACATCATCTGGATGCATTTCATTACTG